AATATCTGGTGGATTGGGAGGGTTATGGACCCGAGGAGCGATCCTGGATCCCTTCCCGCTTCGTCCTGGACAAAACCTTGATCCGGGATTTCCACAGGGCCCATCCTGATCAGCCCAAAAGGGCGTCTGGAATCCGCCCTTGAGGGGGGGGTTCTGTAATGGTTTCTGCACTGATTCTGGCCTGATCACTGAGTCCTCGCACCTGCTCTGCTCCACTCATCTGCAATCAGCTCTGACTGGAGTCACCTGCTTCCAGCACTTTAAAAGCCCCATCAGATCTGTCCTCTGTGCCAGATTATCTCAAGCCAACCAGCTATGAATAATCCAGCATCAAGGAAGAACCTGACCGCCTATCTGTTTCCGACCCGATCTGCCCCCCGACTCCGAGCCTGCCCGAACCGTTTGATTCTGCCTGCCTGCTTCCCCCTCTCTGGATCCCTGACTCTGCAAAGCCCCGCCTGACTGCCTGCCTCTCCGTCCTGGATAAAACTGGTAATCCTCCCTCAATCTACCCGCCTGTCTTCCTGCAGCCAGTTGCCCACACAGATCCAGCCCCGCTTTCTGATTAACCCTCTGAATAAATCTTCAAAGTTAAACGTCACTAACCTGTCCGGGTTTATTTGGGTCCAGTCTCTGTCTCGTTACACTAATGCCACAGAGTCGGTGGCTTTGGATCGAGTATCATAGCTGGTGCCACTGCCCAGGACAAGGGCAGCCTGTCATCCAGTCTGCAGGGAAGGTGACTGGTTGCAATCTTCCATTTATCCAGGATCTGTAAGCCTCCAGGACTCTGAGGCGCGCAGGGAAGATGGCTGTTTATGGTTGATCCCTCGCACCCTAGCCAAAAACAGTTTTTCTCACTTCCCTCTGGCAGGAGGCTATGGTCCATCAGGACCAAAACCTCACGCCTCAAAAACAGTTTTTTCCCCATCTGCAACCAGCCTTATCAACAAGGCCCAGAGACCCCCGTGACAATGACACTGCCTCTCTCCCTCCCTCGGTGAGGACCTAGAAGCTACACCAACGTAGCATCTGCAGACCTCTTGCATTACATTAACGCACAGTCTAATATGTATATAGTATATAGCTATATACTGTAGGCTACTATATGTTGTATATAGCATATTGTGTGTTTCATATTGTATATAGCAATAAATTCTGTATTCTGTATATATATATATATATAATTTGTCTGCACCATCATCATCAAGTCAAATTCCTTGGCAAATTCCTACTTGGCAATAAATCTCATTCTGAGAAAAATATGTTCTTGCTGCACAGCTGCATTGTGATATTACACAATCCTTTCCTGCATCCTTTTTGCATGGTATCTGTGTTAATTCCTGTGTTCCCCTTCCTTTTTAGTGCAAAAACATGTCTGTTAGGTTGTTGCACTAGGTCGGCCTTCATTTGTGTGCCCTCTGTTCCATTGAAATTGGAGCCTTTCAGTCATCATTTCTGAGGGGTATATTCCGCTGCCTAATGCAATTCCTCACAATCCTTTGACTGGAACTAGTAGAACAAGATAGAGATAGAAATAATGGAAATTTTCATTTTTTTAAACTGATATTTCAATGAAGATTGCACCATTTCACCAACCTCAAACATTGAAAGGAGGAACTAAGTTCTATAAAAGTAAAGTCAGGGACTGCAAAAATTTTTAATGTAAATTAGTCATTTTTTATTCAAATAAGTGCATGTTTTTCTTGAATTGAGGAGGTAAGTGAGACACTGTGCCAATGAAACAAGACTATTTACATTAAAAATAAGAAAAAAACATTTGCATTGTCTTATTTCAAGTGCTTATTATCTCATTATCTTATTTTAAGAGTAAAAACTCATCCACCTACTCAAATTAGGGGAACATTTTACGTAATAAAAATTATTTTTTACTTATTTCTAGATCCTTTTGCAGTGTAAAGCATGTATGGGTAAGTCCCAAAGGTTTTCCACATTTCAGATGTTGTTTCTTGTTATACGTTTCATGATTTACCCTGGTCTGTGATTTTTTTCATGGTCCTTAAGCTTAATGAAACCAAAACACTATTAAAGAATTTGTTAGAAAAAGGTGAAAGCATTCTGCATTTCGTATAGGTGCTTAAGATTCATAAACTTTTTCTCACTGTAAGAAAGTGAAGATGAAATATACAGGATGTGGCAATGAATTGTTTTCTGATATGGTTGGAATGACGGTTTATCTAATTAATGCTTAGTCACCCTTTTTTTCATTAATAAACTGAAGAGTTCATGGGAAGCTGCACTTCAAGTATTGTGTGAGCTTAATGGAACCACTTCAGCTGCCATCTGAGAAAGGTAATTATTCTAATATATATATTTTATAATGTAATCTTTTGATAATGAAAAATAAAATCTGTAGAGAGTAAATAACCTTTCATAGAAACTAGTTATTTAGTCTAATTAATAAATAAGCCAAAGTTTTCTCATACTCTCCAGCTCTTGCCACAACCAAAAGGATGCTGGGACAACTCAACTCAGTTTGGTTTGTTTATTTGTATTTTTCCTTGATTCAGACACATCTCACAAACATGTGAGTAGGTTGATAACCTGCAAAGAAAAAAATGCACACCAGAAATTCTAATTAAATCTCTTGAATTTTTTACATTTCCAACCAGCTTTTCAAACTTAACTGTAAATAAAATCAACAAAAAAGAAACTGCATATTGCAAGCACCGCATACCATGATGTCCATAATCTCAAGCATTTAAGGCATGCTGTCAAACAAACAAAATTTCTTTTGGTTTTACCGCACAAAATATGAATCATGTAAAATACTTTTTACTGTCCATTTGAATAAACATACGTTCTCATCTCCTACCAGTGGTGTCATATTGTTGTAGCTTGGAGTTGGAGTTCTTAGCTTGTTGTGCCATCCTTCTGTGAAGCCCAGGTGAGCGGGGTTATTTCTAAGTTAGGTATTTGGCTTGAGGAGGGAGAGCGCTTGATTTTATGTTCAAAGCACTCCAGGCAGGTGGACATTAGAAAGTGTAATTTGCCTTTTCCTGGTTTAACTAGACAGATAAATATATATATATTACACTTGTAGCCTACCTTTATAAACATTTCATAGATCCGTCTACATCTTTATACATCTTGACAGATTTTCAACATTTATCGCAATATATTTTGAGCACAGTCAGATTTGATTAATTAAACTGCATGTGAACAACAAGTAAAGTAATTACCATAGATTTGGATCATCTACTGTAGCTATATTTTTAGGTTTGCTGTCCTCCTAGAAGACGAGCCTGAAGCCCTTTGCTAACCTGGCATAAACCAGATAGGTAGTTCATTTTGAATTTTACACAGTAACAATCTGGTAAGACTGGGGAAATACGTTTAATTCTGAAAGCTGATTGGTTAAATCACCAAGTGGCCCATGTTACATCTTTAGCCAATCACAGTAGCATCTGTGACGTATTACATTTTTGACAATGGGTAACGACACAACAATAGGCCCGTAAACATCATTATCTGGGGGGGCCCCATATGAAGTGCAACATAAGATAAAGGTCTAGGATAGGGCAACAGTTCCATAAATCGGCCAAGAAGATACAATTGTGCATTTCCCAGTAGTTTATGATCACACACAGAAAAATAGTGACTGCGCACTTTGAATGGAACCATTGGAGACAGCACACCACCACATCCACAAAAACATGTTGATGGCACACCATGCATGTCCATGAAAACACATTTGGTATACTGCTGCACATCCATGAAAACACGTAGACGGCAGACCAGACATAGGCTGAAATGATAAAAACCCAGAAAATATCAGACGAGCCAAACCTCAAAGTGTGTATTTTAAACGTTATTACTTTACACAGTGCTGACAAAGTAAGCACACAGACAGGTGATAGACCAATCCAGGAACCCACTAAAACTAGTTCACCTACTACTGTTGTGTGTTGCCAAAATTGGCGAATTGTTAATCTTTGAGACATTTTGGTTGCAATCTTTACTCACTGGACTAGTAGTAGCAGCAACATCTACCACTCCCTCTGCGGTTCTGTGAAAGAAACGTGTTTATTTTCTGAAGTTTTTTCCGTTCTTCAAGAAGCTCTTCTTTCCTTTTTCTTTTCTGGAATCTTCTTAAGTACCTCTTTTGGGTATTCATCATGGCTTATACATTGTACATAACGGTTATGGTTTTAATCTACACTCTGCATAATCTGGCATCAAATCCAGCTGGCCAGGTAAGCACTTTAGTACAGAAGCCGAGATTGGTCGTACTCGACTTTTACTTTTCCTTTGCCTTCTCGAGTTAATGACATAACTATCTCATTATCACGGTTAAACCATTAATTGTTTTCTCGAGATAACAAGATAATAATCTCGTTATTCATGAGTAAACAGTTATTGGTTTCTTCGAGATAGCGAGATGATTAACCTGTATGATTAATGAGGCTAGCCCTGGATTCTTTATGTAGGATTTTCAACCATTTTTCATTTCTTTTTCTTTGTGTACATAGCTTGGTTTTGTCAAGTTTCACTGGTTTAATATGTTCGACATGGAGTTAAATAAACTTAGCTGATAAATGATTATACTTCAAATTGAGGTTGTTGTGAACTTATTTAATATGTAAACAGAATAAACTGAGCTTGATTCACACCTCTTATCCCAACACACAGACGGTTGGGTATGTGTTCACAGAACAATATATGGCAGTTCGAAAGTTACAGTATATCCCTCACAGAGGTGGACATTGAATATAAAGTCATTGTATAACACTGTCATAATGCTTTCTTTTATATGCAAAACTAACCCTTGATGATCCATATAACTAATTAAGGATGTTGCCAGTTGTTTTTAACCTGGTACTGCAGAAACTAAAATTCCAACTGCACCATGAACAACAATGTCTTGTGCTGATAAAGCAGAAAAAGAGAGGTCAATTCTATGTTTTTAACTGAATAAAATGTTCAAAAGAACAACTGACTGTGAATGGATCTTAATTTCACAGGTTTCTGGTAGAAGAATGGGTGATTTCAACAAGAACAATACAAGCTGTTACAATGGCAATGCAACATCCGTTTCTAAAATGGTGGCTATGATTGTTGCTTGCATTGGCCTTCCTTTGACTATTGTGGCCATCTATGCTGTTTCCGTAATGGTAAGCACAACATGGCTGAAATGTATTACTTGCTCGGACTTGTCTGACATGTTTGATTACAAGTACATTTAAAGGCTGGTTTATACTCAGAAACCAGGCCGTCTGCGTGTGTGTCGCAGTGAAAGCAGATGTGCCCTACCCTCCGCAGACACTCTGGTGCACCTCTCCAAAATTGTAAGTGACCGCAGACAGTGCTGCAGACACAAGGCCTCTGATTGGTCAAATATACATCCGCTCTAAACTATGCGATTTCCTGTTTGGTACCTTACCGGCTGTTTTGTTTGTATGACCACTATTGTGCAAAACGACTCATAAAGATGGACCAGCTAAAAGAGCGAGGTGCGCGCGAACACTGGGACCCTTTTTCCACCTGGATCCCCGCTCTTTTCACCCTCGTGTCCCTCCGTTGTCACACAAACTTGCGCTCACTTTCTCACCGCCTCGGCCGTTTCTACACCCACAGCAAACTGGCAACCCACACCCGCACAAGTTTGTCGGACAACGGAGGGACATGAGGTCGAAAAAGAGCGGGGATCCAGGGGCAAAAAGGGTCCCAGCGTTCTCGCGCACCTTTCTCTTCTAGCTGGTCAACCTGGTTTCTGAGTCTAAACCAGCCTTAAAGCTTTATCAATATGTGAAAAACCGAATGCATTTACAACCAATATTTTTTTATGTATTATGTTACTTTTAACACTGCCAACACAAAACTCAGGATTGTAGAATGTATGGGGGACCAGGAATCATTCTGTGCTTTCTTGATCTTTTCCTGCAGGTACGAAGTGGTCATTTGGTTCCTGTCTACCTTATTAACCTTCTCATCAGCAATTTTATTCGGTTCTGTTGCTTGACTGTTAGGGCAGAGGTCAACAACGAAGATATCTGCATAATAACAAACTGCATCCTTACAGTTGGTGTGTTGGTCAGCATGTGCTTTATGGTGTTTATTGCTTTTGAAAGGTAAGATTCTGTTTTGTTGCACTCTATAGTCATTTCTGTGTGATCAAACACAACTTAGATTAAACAAATCTATTTCCGGATCTCATTCATGACTGTCATGTCTCTGTCTTGCATTGAAGGTATTTGGTCATCGCTCATCCCCTGTGGTACAAATTCAGAAGAAATGTTAAGACATCCCTGTTGGTCTGTGTTGCAGTCTGGGTCTTTCCTTCCTCATACTTTCCCATATGTTACTTTGATATTGATTCTGCTGAACATATTTTGGCAAGTTTACAGTTGCTGCCATTCCCTCTGCTTTTATTTTTCTTTGGTGGCACACTTAAAGCCCTCTCTGCAGCTCGCAGTGTCCCAAATGATCAAAAACAACGAATCTTAACAACTTTGGTACTGGTCTTGGTTTCTTACGCTCTGTTGTTTATGCCCCGAATAATATTTCTAGTAAAGGGAAACCCTTACGGCTCAATTTATGATGTTGTGACTGTAATTCCAGTATATGTAAGTTCAGTTGTTGACTTGGTTTTGTATGTTTTCATGAAAAAAGCATTTGCTGATTCAATTTTGAAATGTCTGTGTTGTTGCAAAATTAACCATGATGATGCCAACATGTCGAAAGAGAGGCGAGCCAACATGAAAACGGAAATCTCTATGCAATCACAAAAACAGGTTGAAAGAAAAACTGATGAAGACCATGAATTTAGTTAAATACATATACTTGGAATAAAGACAGAAGTTTAGAAGGTCTAACCCCATTAATCTAAATTGTATATTTCCCAAGTGTGACCAAAATATGTAGAAACTCAGGAATATACATGGAAAACATTCATACTCTATCCCTGCCAGTATTTCCTCCCAAGAACCTGTGTTCTAAAAGCTAAAAAATGAAGTAACTACTGCGCTGTGATTGTAATCATTTTTATTTCTAAAAACTAAAGCGTGGTTTCTTGTGAATGTTTTTAAATGTAAAAAATGTTTTGTATTGTTTTTGTGAATAAGATATATACGCAAAAGGTTGAAACAATAAATTCCTTGTTTAATATATGTGGTATATAAAAGATAACCAGAGATGTTTAACAACAATTGTTCAACAGTTCAATTCATGTCTGTGGTCTCTAAGAGTTGAAATAAACGTTTTCTCATATTTACATCTGTTTCTTAGGGTGACCTTAGGGGTGCAAACCCCACTTACATACATCATCTCACAGCATATTCAAAAGGTCCTGCAAATTTAAAAATGTATTTAGATTCCTTTCAGTTCTTTTATATTGCAATAATTCACAACACATTTTATTTCAAGCCTTGAAACTATCTAAATGTAAGTGCAATTTTCTTAAATTAAATGCAATTACCCTTAATCTGAGTAGGTAAATAATGTGATTTACTGATGGGATTTTTTACTCTTAAAATAAGATAATTAGATATTAGATAATTAGATAATATGACTTATTTAGATTAAAATGTTTGCAGCTGAATTTCTATGGGGTTTTGCTTCAATCATGCAACAGCAAACTGCATTACACACATTTCATTAAATCTAAAACATTCCACTTCAGGGTGCTACGGTTACTGGATGTTATTCCAGCCTCCTCTCACTACTCGTGGGAAATAAAGGGGTTATCGTCTTGTAATTCATCGGTGGGACACAAATTGTACCCCTTCCGATTGCCAACTTCCACTGATATTAACATTGCCTAATCAATTTTAGGGACTGGGCCATAGATGCAACCAGAATTAGGTCATTTGACCTTAAAATTTAGTTGTCTTTAATACCTCTTTATGAATCATTTGTAAAATAGTAATTATTTTTAGCAGTAATTACTGTCTTTGGTTTATTGGTAAGTGAAAATAATATTTGATCTTTTATTCACTTTCTTTAACTTGATGTTTAATAACAATACTCTTTGAACTTATTTTATACTCTTTAATATCAACTCTCCCAACTTCTCTTCCCTTATGAGAGTTAAATTTAGGGAGTGGAGGCGACAGTTTACATATCAGACCAGGAGAGGGTGAAGGCAAGCCAGATCAGGCGAAACACTAGGACTCCTGTTCCCTTCAGTTTTCATCTATTTTGTTTAATTTCTTATTTACCTTATTCTATATTATCAGTAATATTCCAACCATAATTTATTATTTAATGAGTTGCCATGATATCTGACCAGTGAATACATGTTTAGCCGCATGTCGTCATTCAACCGCTGGTTGTCTTGGTGGCAGAGATGGGAAGTAACTAAGTACAAATACTTCATTGCTGTACTCAAGTAGATTTTTCTGATATTTTCACTTTACTTTACTACTTATTTTTATGGCGACTTTTTACTTCTACTCCTTACATTTTTACACAAATGTCTGTACTTTCTACTCCTTACATTTTAAAAAAATGTCTCGTTACTTTAGTTTTGAATCATTTCAATGGAGTTACCGTTATTATTTTTCACGTCATCAATACCAAATTCAATCTAATTGGATGGGAATCTACGTTGCATTTGACGCACCACTACAAGATGAATCGACAGATTCGGCGGTATTCATTGGCAGCAAATCATTGCAGCTTGGTGGCGGTGGCGTTAGTAGCATGGACGACGAGATGATTGAAAATGAACACAATGGAGATCTAGTCCTATTGGCAGACATCCATTTAAAATGTAGGCAACGGCATGAAAAAAGTGGTTTCTACTTTTACTTTTATACTTTAAGTAAATTTACAAGCCTGTACTTTGTTACTTTTACTTGAGTAAAGAAGTTTAATCAGTACTTCCACTTTTACCAGAGTATTTTTTAACACAAGTACCTGTACTTTTACTCAAGTACGGAAAGTGAGTACTTTTGCCATCTCTGCTTGGTGGTGTCCACTCTTTACTCCATCCAGACAGTGTCTTGCCCACGACCAAAATCTAATAAATTAGTAAAGATTCCCAAAGGAGTAAATCATGATAATCTAATTAAAATCAAAATAACTCCAATTGGGGAAAAAGTTAAAACAATTAAATGCGGTCTGTTTAACATAAGATCTCTTTCCTCTAAAAGTCTGCTAGTTAATGACTTGATTTGTGATAATCACATTGACTTGTTTTGCCTTACAGAAACCTGGCTGCAGCAAGAGGATTATGTAAGCATAAATGAGGCAACTCCTTCAAGCTATTTCAATTTTCACATACCCAGAAGTTCTGGGCGAGGAGGAGGAGTAGCAACAATCTTCCAGTCTGACTTACTGATTACTCCCAAAACAGTTAATACCTACAACTCTTTTGAACATTTAACCCTTAATTTCCCTCATCCAAATTTCAAGGCAAGAAAACCTCTTCTTTTTGTAACTTTGTATCGTCCACCAGGTCCTTACTCTGAATTTTAGATGAGTTTTCAGAGTTCCTTTCTGATTTGGTATTAAATACTGACAGGGTCATCATAGTGGGAGATTTTAACATCCATGCTGACATTGAAGGCGATAGCTTAAGAGCAGCCTTTAATGCTATCTTAGACACTATTGGCTTTGTTCAAAATGTAAATAGTCCCGCACATTCTCATCTTCATACTTTGGATCTTGTGCTGACATACGGCATAGAATGTGAAGAAATAACAGTATTTCCTCACAACCCTGTCCTCTCTGACCACTTTCTAATAACCTTCAGGATTACTTTAACAGAGTTCTCCTCCCCTAAAAGAAGGTTCAATTTTAGTAGATCTTTATCAGATAGTGCAGTTATAAATTTTAAAGAATCTGCTTCACTTTCTCTCTTCTCTGTGTCGCTGAGCAGTGCTGCAGAGTGCAAAAGCATAGCTTATTACCCTTCACAGGTTGATGATTTTGTTGATGGGGTTGCTAGTTCTCTGCGTACTGCCTTAGACAACGCAGCTCCCTTGAAAATGAAAACAGTTAAAAATAGAAAGCTTGCTCCTCGGTTTAATGCCAAGCTGCGTACTTTGAAGCAAAATGCTAGGAAACTGGAGAGAAAATATCGCTCCACAGGCCTGCGGGAGTCCTTCCTAGTCTGGAAAAATGGTTTACTGCTGTATAAGAGGACCCTTTGTAAAGCAAGAGCAGCATACTTCTCCTCATTAATAGAGGAGAATAAGAATAATCCTAGATTTCTTTTTAATAGAGTTGCCAAACTCACCCAGAGCCATAGCTCTGTTGAACCGTCCATTCCACCCGCTCTTAGCAGCAATGATTTTATGGGATTCTTTATAAATAAGATTGATCTTATTAAAAATAAGATCATAAGCACTCCTCTATCCGCGATTGTACCTGAGGTAGTCATGGAATCTGAACCGGGTTTAGACTGCTTTGATCCAGTTGAACTTTCTGAATTAGCAAAATTATTGTCTTCATCTAAGCCTTCAACTTGTATGTTAGATCCAGTTCCAACCAGGTTATTTAAGGAGGTATTCCGTTTGATCTCCTCCTCCATTTTAGATGTGATTAATCTATCTCTGTTACAGGGATATGTACTTATATAAGCTTTTAAGGTTGCTGTAATTAAACCTCTGCTTAAGAAACCGTCTCTTGACCCAGATGACTTGGTCAATTATAGACCTATATCCAATCTTCCTTTCTTATCCAAAATTCTTGAGAAAGTAGTTGCCAAACAAGTTTGCGATCACTTACACCATAATGAACTTTTTGAAGAGTTTCAGTCTGGCTTTAGAGCTCATCATAGCACTGAAACAGCTCTGGTGAAAGTCACTAATGATATTCTCATGGCCTCAGATAATGGACTTGTATCTGTGCTCGTCCTGTTGGATCTCAGTGCTGCATTTGATACAGTTGACCATAATATTCTTTTAGAAAGACTTGAATATTGTGTTGGAATTAAAGGAACAGCACTAGACTGGTTTAAATCTTATCTATTTGATCGAATTCAGTTTGTTCATGTTAATGATAGATCTTCAACACGCTCAAAGGTTACCTGTGGAGTACCACAGGGATCAGTGCTAGGACCAATTCTCTTTACTTTATACATGCTACCAATCGGTAGAGTTATTAGACAGCATGGGATTAATTTTCACTGTTATGCTGATGATACCCAGCTATATCTGTCTATAAATCCAGATGAAGCTAACCCATTACATAGATTACAGGCATGTCTTGAAGACATAAAAACCTGGATGACTCTTAACTTTCTGCTTCTGAATGCAGACAAAACAGAAGTTATAGTCTTTGGACCAGAGTCTCTGAAAAAGAAACTGATTAGCCAGTCACTTCATTTGGATGGGATTAAACTGATTTCAGATAATAAAGTAAAAAATCTTGGTGTTATTTTTGATCAGGACCTGTCATTTAAATCCCATATCAAAGAGGTTTCTAGAATTTCCTTCTTTCATCTGAGGAACATTGCAAAAATTAGAAATCTCCTGTCCAGGGGTGATGCTGAGAAACTAGTCCATGCATTTGTTACTTCCAGGCTGGACTATTGTAATTCTTTACTATCAGGAAGTCCACAAACTGTAGTTAAAAGCCTTCAGCTGATCCAAAATGCTGCAGCCAGAGTTCTGATGAAAATTAAAAAGAGAGATCACATCTCTCCTATCCTGGCTTCTCTTCATTGGCTTCCTGTTAAATCAAGAATAGAATTTAAAATCCTCCTTCTCACATATAAAGCCTTAAATGGCCAAGCTCCATCTTATATCAGAGATCTGATTGTTCCTTATGTTCCTAACAGAGCACTTCGCTCTCAATCTGCAGGTTTACTAGTGGTTCCTAGAATTGCTAAAAATAGAATGGGAGGCAGATCTTTTAGTTATCAGGCTCCTCTCCTGTGGAACCAACTACCAGTTTTAGTCCGTGAGCCAGACACCCTGTCTACTTTTAAGGCTAGACTTAAAACTTTCCTTTTTGATAAAGCTTATAGTTAGAGTGGCTCAGGTTATCCTGAGCTATCTCTATAGTTATGCTGCTATAGGCTTAGACTGCTGGAGGACATAGGGACCCCTATTTCATCATTCTGCTTCATTCTCTCTCTGTTCTCCTATTCTGCAGAATCTGTTAGTTCAATCTCTAACCTTCTGCTCTCTCTGCTTTTCCTCAGAGTAGCTTCGCCTCGTCTGTTCCTGTTTGGCTGTGACGTCATCCTGGAAAGAAACATCAGCTGTGCTGCTTCCATCAACACCCTTGTTTATAGATGTTGGAGATCGGCCTGTTTTCCAGTGTGGTCCTGTTTCTCTGACCGTGACTGACTGGATGTGCTCTCTTCGTCCTCTGGCATGGGAGCTGCCTTGGAGCTCGTCTGCATGGCTGTGTGTTTCCTGGACGGGGCCGCCTTTTACAGCTGCTTTTTGTATCTCTGCTTCTGTCTCCTTGAACCCCAGTCGGCCTCAGCAGATGGCCGCTCACACTGAGCCTGGTTCTGCTGCAGGTTTCTTCCTGTTTAAAGGGAGTTTTTCCTCTCCACTGTCGCTACAAGCATGCTTAGTGTGAGGGATTGTATTTGAGTCAATGCAATCAACTGGTTTTCCTTAGATAGAAAACTTTGTATCAATTTGACTGTATGATCTGGTTGAACTGTAAAGTGCCTTGAGATGACATGTGTTGTGAATTTGGCGCTATATAAATAAACTGAATTGAAACTGAATTGAATTGATAGTCTATTCCTAAACCTATAGGGTCAGTGGACCTCTAGCCGAAGCTTAATTAAGTATATCTAATACCTTACCATGATGACCTAAGATTAGCTGACTTTAAGCTTAAACCCAATATTTCACATCTTACCAGGAGGGTTTAATCCAGCACGCAAGATCAGTGGATTTCTTGCCTAAACCTAAAACAACCTCAAACTTAATACCACCATGATAGGTTATTCCTCATGCTATTATCAGCAAAATGTATACCTTACCCTAATTTAATACTCCAAGTATTATCTCATATTTTATGGCTTACCATGACAGTCTATTCCTAAATGGTAAATGGTAAATGGCATGTACTTATATAGCGCCTTTATTCAAGTTAGGAGACTTGACCAAAGCGCTTTACACTACATTCATTCACCCATTCACACACACACTCACACACTGATGGTGGCAAGCTACATTGTAGCCACAGCTGCCCTGGGGCTCACTGACAGAAGCGAGGCTGCCGTACACTGGCGCCACCGGGCCCTCTGACCACCAAAGGTTAGTAGACCTCATACCTAAACCTTAGACAACTTTTGCTTTCATTTTGTATACAAAACAAAGTTTCATTTAGTACAGCTTTTCAGACAGTAAATGAACATTTCCATTCCATAAAGTGCAACAGTGATCAAATTTAAACAGTGTTGGGAGAAAAAACATGGTGCAAAACATGCATTGTTGTGGAAGATCAGAGCATGTTATCAGTGTGATGCAGAGTCTGTGACGTGATTTAGTTTTTTCAACAGTTCAGCATGGGCAGATGGCGGTGGAGAAGAAACTTTTGCAGACACTGCTGGACCTGCATCATATACCCTGAAGCCTCTTCCCAGAGGGCAGCAGGGAGAACAGTCCATGGTGGGGGGTGTGAGGGGTCATTGATGGTGTTGGGGACACGCAACATTGGGATGAAATGTCTTTAATGGAGGGAAGAGGAGCCCCCATGATCCTCTCTGCTGTTCTAACCACTCTTCTCACCTTCTTCCAGTCTGAGGCGCTGCAGCCTCCACACCAAACAGTGAGACAGCTGGTCAGAGCGCTCTCTATGGTGCTTCTGTAGAAGGTGGTCAGGATGGGTGGGGGCAGGTGGCTCTCCTCATCCTGCGCAGGAAGTACAAGTGCTTTGTGCCCTTTTGACCAGTGAGATGGTGTTTACAGTCTAAGTGAGGGTGTCTGTTATGTTCACCCCCAGGAATTTGGTGCTGCCGAGCACCTCTACTGCTAAGCTGTAGTCAACGATGATCTCCTTTTCTGAAGGTCCTGGATCTTCCGGCTGTGGTTCTGTTTCGCTGATCTAATGGCACGGTTCAAGTTGCATCTCACTGTTCTCACAGCCTCTCTATCACCAGACTTGAAAGCTGAGTTCCGTGCTTTTATCGATTTTCGAACCTCCCCTTTTATCCAGGGTGGTTGGTTGGTTGGCCCAGGTGGTGATGTTCTTTGTGATGTTGACGTCCTCAATGCATTTGTTGATGTAGGCTGATACAGTCATGGCATACTGATCTATATTTAATAAGTTGTCATATGTTGCTACAGCGCCCTGCAATGGACTGGTGACCTGTCCAGGGTGTACCCGGCCTCTCGCCCATTGACTGCTGGAGATAGGTACCAGCACCCCTCGCGACCCCACTCAGGAGAAGCGTGTCAGATAATGGATGGATGTTGCTACAGCCTTGAAGATGTTCCAGTCAGAGCATTCAAAACAGTCTTGGAGTGTCTCCATGGCGCCCTCACACCACATTCTGACCTCTTTAACTGTTGGTTTAGCCCTGATCAGCTGGGGCTTATATGCAGGGATAAGCATGACAGATAGGTGATCAGATGAACCGAGGTGGGGGCGGGGGGCTGCTCTGAATGCATCTTTGATGTTAGAGTAAACCAGATCTAAAATATTGTCATCCCGAGTTGCAAAGTCCACATGTTGGTAGAAATGAGGGAGAACAAGCTTCAAGTTAGCCTGGTTAAAATTCCCAGCAATGATGAAAACACCGTCTGTGTGCAGATTGGAGCTCAGAGATAGCCTGGTATAGAGTCTTCATGGCTTCTTTTGTATTAGCGCTGGGCGGCACGTAAACAGCAGTGATGCCAACCACACTGAACTCTCTGGGCAGATAGAACGGTCTGCAGTTAACAGTCAGAAACTTGATGTCTGGAGAGCAGAAGCTGGCGTTCTTGCACCAGCTGTTGTTGATGTAAACACTATTGTTTATATTGCACTATTGTGATTGCTTAATATCACAATAGGCAGATTTTTGGCAGCAATTTAACACCATTAATTGTTTTTATAAAGTACCTAGTAGGATTCTAAAGGACTGTTATAGTGGGGGATGGGATTTTCTGACTATCTCACAGTCTTCATCTTCAGGCCCCATCACCTTCAACAGGTAGGTGAACAATCTAGCAGCTGACATCATCCATTAACTTCCGGTTTCCTGGATTCCATGACAGCTGCTGTCTGATTAACAGTTTGAATACCAACCAAGCATTTTGAGTGACCATTACAGGTCCATTGGAAGGTGTTTACATTTCGGCTATAGGTAACCTTACAAAGACCTCCTATTTTACAACAAGTTAAATGATGACATGGTCAAACATATCAACGTGTCGATATGTTAAGCCAGTTAACATTAATTTCCAAAGCTGCTATCTCTGTGACATTCGCTACTTAGTTTATAGCCAAAATTTCAGTTCTGGGCAGATTTTGTGCTCACAATTGCTCTCCGCATATTTAAAATAAGTCATTTGATTGCACTAGAGAGAGGAGAATCAGAGAAGAGACTAAAAAATCTCTAAGGGATAAAAGTGACTTTAAAGATAAAAGTCACAGCAACACTTCTTACTGATTTTCCTTATACTGTTTATGCTTTCCCCTGTTTTTTTTTTATGTTTATTGCCATAATAGAATAAGCAGAGACAAGGAGGAGATGGTCCAGGGGCCAGCAGCATTGAGAAAGATTTTAGGACTTGTTTGTGAAATTGCAATTTTGAAGAGGTTTTTCTTTTTTTTTTATTGCATACATTTGCAGGTGAAGTTCAGTGGCTTTGGCCACTTTTCCACATGGCAACATCCAACTAATCCTTTCAATGGCAGCAGTCAGTGGGTAAAACTTTCAAATTTGCTCTACAATACTGCACACTGAATGTATGACAGAGTATCAGGGCCAGGCTAGAGATTCTTTTTCTTCTATTTCGAGAATAAAGTCGTAAGATTACGAGAATAAAGTCGTAAAATTATGAGAATAAAGTCGTAATATTAGGAGAATAAAGTCCTAAAATTATGAGAAATAAGATGTATTTTATGTACTTATGTATGTATTATGTATTTATGACAACTCTTACAAGAAGCACTTTCTTCCCTGAAATGAGGAATGTCGAGCATCATGGGCCAAAGTTATACTTTGGTTTTGGTTTGACAAATAAGTAAATTGGGCAGCAGCAAATTGGGCAGGAGGTCAAAGTGGACTCAGGTTGCTGATTAGTTGAGCTGGTCGACTGTCACCTGCTGGTTGGAGCTCGAAGCTTTCTTTCTGGAACAGGTTGTTGTATGATGACTTAATTCTCATAATATTATGACTTTATTCTCATAATTTTAAAACTTAATTCTCCAAATAAAATAAATAAATCTTTAGCCTTGCCCTAATACTCCACCATATGAATGCATTGCAGTGTAACTGCCTTATTATTTAGCCTTCTACTTCTCTTTTCAACAAAGCTTTTTCATTATTTATAATAATTAATTGAATTTCAAAGAAACATTTTTAGAATAAGGTTCCTTTATCAGGTTTAAAATACAAGGCAAGAAATGATCAATAATTATCTCGTAGGTCGATACACTAATGAAAATAAATCTACGTATTTTCAAAAACTCAATGTTGACATGTGGTGTTCATATGAGACAATAACTGGCATATTTAGTGATTACACATTTAAATTTACGCTTATCTACCTCATGTTCCAACAAAAAAACCTGAAATCTACGCGCCTCTAACTTTGAGCGAGGGGATGCATTTCTCAACATAACGACGGCCAGCGCTTTGCACTATTGGCTGATCTCAGTCAGAGCTACTTACTTCTCTGATAGGACACTCTCACACGCAGACATCCTCTCTTATACTGTGATTGATTGGTTCAGGGGAAATTTGAATGTGAGAGTGGAACAAGCTGTCCAGACCAAGCTGTCATTCATTCATTAAGATACAAAATATTGATTACAGAGGAAAGCGTGAAGAACAAAGATAAAAAAAATCTTCAAGTTGGTATGATAATTTTTAAATAATGAATCAATTAGATTTCAGACAAGATGATACCATACGTATTTTATACCAGGGTTAAAAACCACACGAGGGAAAGAGGCCTTGCTAAATGGCTCAGGGGTAAAATAAGAACAAGCTACTTAATTTGTGCTAGTCGCAGATACATTTTTCCAGCTAGGTAACTTATTAGTAAATGTTAGATTTTATGTGCTGCATGTATCTGTGAAGATTCTCAGTCATCCAGGTCATGGTCAAGCTTGAAAAGGTTCAATTTAGGCAGCTGGATGTAAAGATGCGCTGGATAATTTGATTCTGCAACCACCTTGGACAGACCACACCCCCTTTACATTTGAAAAGCTTGAGAAACCTCAGATGTCGAGTGCTTGCTGGGTACACACCATGGCAAGACCAGCTTTTCCCTGTCATCTTCCCAATAAGATCACATTTATATTAGTTATTGAACTCCACAGCAGTGAGATCATCACATTTCTGCTGGAAACTGCCTTCTCAATTTCATTTTTAAAGCCGTTTCCCATATCTAATCTTTGTCATGTGCTTTAGTTTCTTCCCTAAAACCTTTATCAATTATTAATTCATAATAAAGAAACACCATGGGTCACAACTAGCGCTGGGTAAAAAAATTTATTTAATCGATTTTGAATCGATTCCTTTACATTTTTGCAAAATCGATGTCTAGGGAATGAGATCGATTAGTTTTATAGTGATCGGCGTGACGTTCACATTCAAATGAGCAGGAAATATGCACTCAAGATGACTTCAAGCCAGACCACGCTGCACATATAGTTTGTGCAGTGAAGATAATGCAGCTCATGCATGTCTGCTGTGTTTCCACTGTGTCACGTCTGCTTGCTCGAGTGAGGCTTCACTTTTTCACTTTTCACAAACAAGTTTGCACTTTTGAGACAGTGTTGTTCACATCTCAAGTTTAAACTGTCTGATTTACAAGTTTGCACTTCGTGTTTAATATGACAGGAAAAAATAAAATACATGAGTATTTTGAAACACGGTTGAACCACTTTCATTACTGTAAAAACAGATCGAAACGCATTTAATCGATTTAGAACTGAATGAATCAAAATCCAATCAACTCAGGACTTTGTCGAAAATACCCAGCCCTAGTATTCGTCACAACTTGTCACATTGGTATAACAGAATCATAGTTTTGTCACAAATGTTTTATATGTTAAAAAAAATCTAAATAATTGTACAGTTATTTTAGCAAGAAGGCCACTTGCCTATTAGTCTCTTCCCTTTTTCTTTCTAAGCCGTTTCCACAGAAACAAACATTAATAGTTCCTCTTTCTGCTCCTAGACAGACATTTATAATGTTGTTAATACTTCCCTCAGGTTTATGATTTCTTTAAACATGAGGATTACTTCGATATTTTTTGTAGAGAACCAGTTAGGTCAGAAGGAACTTCATATAATCAGTTTACTTGACAGATCCCATTCCAGTTTAACAGCCAGCTGGATCAGGAAGCATGGTGCAAAAAGGAAGTGTCAGGGGACTTGTAAAAGGAATGGAGCATTTCACAATCTCAGAAATGTCCCCTGCATCTGTGCCATGTAAATCGGAATGATCTACTGCAGAAATCTTTTGTAACTTTGAAGTCACGTCATTACATCGGCTAGAATTGAAATTTACATACTTGATAACCAACAAGATGACCAGCGGTGATGCCCTGTGGTGATAACTGCAGTGACTGTAGGTATAAAGCTGTTGTAATGCACCTGACGAGATGAGCTGCAGGTGCGATGCACCTGGTGTGACGTGCTGTGAGCATGATGCACCTGTTGTGATGCGTGCCTGTCACAATGTGCTGTGTGTAATTGCACACCTGTAATGTGGTGCAGTGATGATGTGAGAGGTAATGGGCTGCGGTAATGTCTCTGAAGATATTTGACAGTATTCCACTGCATGCTGATGATGATACTAAAAGCAGAGATGTCTAGAAGACAATGAGCCCCATTATTATAGAGCCAAAAGATTTCCTCATATAAACAGAAATCACATATGTGATCCACTCTTGCACAAGATATTCCACATCCATGCAACACAGGATTCACACTTGCACAGCAAAATCCATACCTGCACAAGATCCTAACATGCAGAAGATAAAATCCACAGGAAAAGATCCCCACATGCACATACTGATTTAAACAAGCAAATAAAATTAACATATTCACAAGACAAGACTCACAAATGTATTTATGATGCATACACAATTATATCTTGAATCAAAAACTACCAGCGGTCTTTGAGTTATACTGCAGTTGTGGATTTTCAGACCCACCTGATGTGACTCATTGTAAAAATCTATTTTTAAACAAGCTATTATTTGCAACCAATTATATAATTAAATTGTTTTACCGGATAACAAGAAGGTATATCACATGGGTGATAATTTTGTAATAAGCCTATCACCGGAGGATTAGAACATTATTGCATCTCCTGCTGTTAGCTTTCTTTGCTCAAGAGGGGAGTATGTTACATAAACTCTATCCAGCTCTGGTGCGCACTCTACCAGGGTTTAGGAGGAGGATAGCCATAGATGTGTGCCACATGGCCGGCAGATGTCACTAGAGCTGGTCAAAGGTGGTAGGTAGCTGGGTCAGCAGATGTGAGAACAATCCTTTTAAGGGCTAAATTAAAACAGCTTTTTTTTTTTTTAAAGCCTCCCACAAACCTTATCGACATTTTTCTGTCTTTGATTGAAAACGATTTGTTTTTATTTTAATTTGTTGTTATTTATTCATTACTTATTAATATAATCGTATTAAACGTTAAAAACTTGAAGCAACCGAAACCAAGGCAGATTTTTAAATAAAACTAAACACAAAAATATGAAAAATGGCCCCTGGAACAGAATATAGCGTTGAGATGCAGTATGGGTCTGCCATGTGGTGTGTCTCAGCCCCTTTCTGTTTGCTAGAACGTCTCCCTTATCTTTCATACAATAAAATCCTCACCCATATGGTATACCTTCTTGTAATTGACTGAAACAATTAAGTTATTTAATTGGTTGCAAATCATAGCTTGTGAAAAAAATTTATTTGTGCACCAAGTCATTTCAGGTCAATCAACACACAGATGTGGTTAAGTTCAAAGACCACTGGTCTTGGGCCACATAACCTGGCTTCAGTTGAAGACCTGTGACCAGAGTCTGATCCTGCAGTGTTACAATACTTATAACATGCTGTTTCATTCCCACTCATGATGATGGGAAGTCCACTACAGGTAAACCTGGTTGATCTTCATATTACAGCCTAAAGAGTAAAAGGGGCTGATGTTTTATTTTTGGGCCTCATGTATGTTTTTTGTCATTGAATCATGTTCTTGTCTATTCATTTTCGTTCATCACTGATGACGTGTTCAAGTATCATCGTAAGGTGTATCATGGTTCTATCACTCCTGGCGCAGCCAGTGACCTTCAAGAAAGTCTATATGATAGCCATGAATAGAGGTGATGCTGTAGAGACAGCCGACAGCCTGGAGAGACGGCAAAAGTGGTAGGAAGGGTTAGCTCCCCGACCTACAGCTCCCATGAGGGATCACCCAAACCTTGCTACAAAGAACCCTACAGAAAAATACCCCCAAGGATGCCCGAGAAGGGGGGAGAATGAGCATCCCAACCGGACGAATTCACTGGTAACGACCCAAGCAAATTGACAACAGATTATGAATTTAGTCTGGATATGTGGCAAGGTCTGCAAAAACCTGCGAGGTCTGAAGCCGAGACGAAGATGACCTGTCTTGTGAAGGAAGAATAGAAGCAATGCTCTGGAACGACAACTGACACAACAGTCCTTGTTGCGCCAACTGTAGAACCTGGTCAGATGGAGGAGGAGCTGAGTCTAGAGTCCCTCCACAATACCCGGATCCTCCTAGCAACACAAGTTCCTCCACCGAGCAGGAAATCGGAGCATCGTCGGGTAAATTGGCATGTCGCTAACAGCAAGGAGTGGACCAAGCTGGATGAGGATGTAGACAAGAGCCTGGAAGCCATCTCAAAGGGCAACGCCGAACAGAAACTCCACACTATGTGCTCCCTCATCATGAACATAGGTGTCCAGCAAGGAGCAAGTAACCCAGCAAAGCTCAACTAACGGGGAGTCAAGATAGGCCAGCTGGGACAAAAACTGAAATCCTTGAGACGCCAGTTCAAGGCAGCTAAGGAAGAGGAGAGACCTGCTCTGTCAGAACTCACTAACATCATTAGGAAGAAACTTATCACATTGAGAAGGGCCAAGCAACACAGACGAAAAGGCAAGGAAAGGGCCCGGAAGCGAAGTGCAACTCCTTCGCCTTCACCAAGTGGCTACTGAGACAGAAACGGAGTGGCTACCTTGCTTGACCTGTAGAAGAGATTAACCAGAATCTCAACACCACATATGTCGGTGATAGTCACATGATCAATCACAGCAAAGGATTGTGGGAGATTATCTTAAGCTAAGCACTAAGGTTGATTTTTCACGGTGTCACATGAGTAGGGAGGTATATAGAATCAAATATTAATAAACATTGGTTATTGACTCTATAATATGACTATTGCATCCCTTAAATAAAGATATGTTAGTTAAAGGCATAAAACTCCCCTGGGGAAAATGCCATGCAGAAGATAAATTGAGTATGACAATAATTTCAGGGTTCCTACAGCATAAGGCAAGTTAAATTCAAGACTTTTTAAAACTTTTTAATACCACTTGAAATAAAAATTTAAGCCCAAATTCACAAGAAACACAAGAAAAACCAGCTTGCGACAATTTAACCCAAAGGTTTATTTTAACATAAACCACTGCACTAATGTTTAAAATTTTTAAAAACTTCCCATACGGGAATAAAGCTAAAAACAAATGACAGATATATTTGAACAATTATTTAACTGAATTTACAAACTTTGTTTTAGCAGGGATCAAAACAAATCAGGTTTAAAGCCCCAACATAACCAGAGATAAGTCTTTTTTGCAGTTATTTTTTTCTGTGTATCGTTTTTTTTAGTATGTTTGATTTGGTGATAAGTGGAGGCGTTGCAGAGACAAGGGTGGAACAAAACTGAGAAATACCGTCTGTTTCTCTGTAACTCGATTTTGACGCTTTGTGTTTCGCGCTTCGCATGCGTGACTCCACTGCCTTAATTCCCATCGTTCCGAGCTTGAATGACTTCTTGCACTAAATCTACTGAGCCTCATGTATGTTCTTGGCTGGAGACAATTTTCGTTACATTTACACTTGCTCATGTTTTCCAGACAAAAAGTTTATGGTGCATCTCCCAAATGTCCCGGCCGCAACAACGCTTTTATTGGTTCCGTTATCAGAAAGGAACCAATAATAGCGAGCTGTTATTTTTTTTTAAATAAAAATTTTTTTTTCAATTTTAATGTTTTATTTAGATAAAAAAAAAAAATCATAATAAAAATAATCCTATTTATGTTTTAAAATAATAAGACCTACGAAAGACTGATTTAAGACATTTTAATACCAATTAAGGCCTTAGTTTTATTTTGAAGAATTCTATGCCTTTTAAGACTTTTTAAGGACCTGTGGGAACCCTGAATTTACTTAAACAGTCAGTCTATGAAAGAAAACTGAAACTCTTGGCAGGATGAGATATAGGGAACACCCTGGACCACAACTGGATTTTATTGGTTCATCAAAGAGTAGAAATCACTCTAAGGGATTGTTTAAGGATAAACCTCTTTGAGGTTAAACTGTTTAGTTTTACCCATCACATTAAAAAGGCTACATCAGGTTAGTACTCGCTCAATGAGCCACTCTCATTATTTACAGTGTAAACCTCCCAATGTTAGAAAAAAAAAAAACACCAGGCAGAACGGGACGCAAATCATGGTCTTCTGGAGTCCAGTTCCAGATGTTTTAATAAGACAGTTTTATCCCATCCTGAAAATGACCAACATTTTCCCTACATGATCAGCCTTTAAAAACAGAACCTAAACCAGCCGTATTATACAGGACTTAAAAAAAAACAGCTGTGAGACATAAATTCAGCATAAACACAGCAGTTAATGACCATAGCTCCATCTGGAGCACAGGATCAGCCTTTGCTGATAAAACAAACAGCTGCGAGATGAGAGATAAGAGACCCATGGTTCCAAATTGATAAATCTTCTTTTTATTTACATTTTCCAGGTCATTTCTTTCTCTTTATTATTAGATGCAGTTCATAAAGATATTAATTGCTCGTTGGTCTCTGTGAGGCTAACTCCAGTCTTAGTTGAAAGTGGTTCTTTCCTCTGGTCCTGCAGAGTTGGTGCAGAGATGGATCTGCTTTTCTTTTCAGAACTTGGAAGAAGTGGGTCTTATGGCTATGAACTGCGACTCCTTCAGCTGAATGGATTTCATATTGTTACCGTATGTTTACTGTGGCTTTATAGAATCCAAAGCAAACTGCAGTGTTCAGCATTAAGGGAATAAAGCATCTCTGCTTGTACAGCTTCTTAGATCCGGTTTGCTTTTCCTTTTCACAGTTGGGGCTTCGTTAGACAAATATCAAGAACAGCAAATGTTTTGGAGAGAATTGTGGATTTCTCATCTGACCTCAGACCTTTCCTTTCATTCTGTTGAAGCACCAGTAGGTCCGGCATGCTAACCCTAGTACTCCACCAAACAGATTTAGTCTTTATACCGCCATCTCATCTGTCTGTGAAGCTGGACACTGTTGTCTGGAATCTGTGATCCTTAGCTGATGCTTCTAGTGTCGGCCATGTCCTGGACTGGACAAGGCCGATTGATGTCTGGTACTTGGAGGAGGTTGGCTGAACTGAAGAAGTGTTCGTGGATTAACCCAGTACCAAAGGTTCATTCATGTTGTATTCATTTTTTCCCTGTTTATCAGCAGCACTTTAAGAATAAGCTGAACTGCAGCTTAGTAAAAAGAGTCATCGGGTGAAAATGCTCTCATCTGATGAGATGCTGCAGCCTTCAGCGGGTGCTCTGAAGTTCCTGATGAAGCCAGGTAGGCAGTGGTTGGCCCAGGCGATTCAGCAGTTGCACCAGCTCCATGTTGTGGTGACGGTAATACTCGCTTAAAAAGGCACGTGACTGGAAAAAAAAAAGAAAGCACAGAACATATCAGAGCATCAATAACAGCTCAATAGTCATCTTCACACTGGTTATTAAGGTAAACTCTGATTTTATTAATCATTTAAATTTTTCAACAAAGCCTACAACACCAATCTAAAAGCAGCAGTGTGTCGCAGTGAGGTTGTCGCAGATATTTTAGATTTAACATTGAAGCGTGGTCTGCACTATGTTATTCCACGCCACAATGCAAGAGGGACAAATAGGAACTAGCTGTGGGTCTAGATACGGTCGAGGCGGTGAGGAAGTGGGGGCAACTTTGCAACAACGGAGGGACATGAGGGCCAAAAAGAGCGGGGATCCAGGTGGAATAAAGGACCCAGCGTTCTGGCGCACCTCGCTGTTCTAGCTGCTCCATCTTCACGAGTCGTTTTCCACAATGGCGGTCATACAAACAACACAAGCTAGTAAGGTACCAAACAGGAAATACGCATAGTGTAGAGAGGATGTAGAATTGACCAATCAGAGCCCTCCTCTCTGCAGTCACCTGCAATTTTGGAGAGGTGCAGCAGAGTGTGGAAGGGGCAGGGCACATTTCACTGCGTTTCTGGGTATTAATCAGCCTTAACTACGCTAGGTTCAGGTTTTCCCCCCCATCTGTGATTCTGTGTATTCTCCCCACCTGCCCTAATTTCACTATTGTAATGCAAAAAAACCTTTGATGCTACCTACCACCTCCTGTACATGAGATCAGACACAAATAGCACAAGACCATTTTCCAGCACATTTCTTCATTTGCCTCTGCAACATCGTTTTTTTTTTTTTTTTTTTTTTTTTTTTTTTTTTGCTGTGATATTTTCTTAATCTTTTAATTAGGCAATCTCAAACTTCTACATAACTCTATTACACATCAGTTCTTCCAGATAACTACCAGCTCTCCACACAGAGCTGAAGCAACGCTGACTATCTGACTCTCACACATGACGTCAAATGACGCAACTTGTTAAGAGAAAAGCATTTTTTAGAAACACTGCTAATAAAAGTGACTTTACAGGTAGATTCAGTTTGTTAGAGCAGCCAAAAAACTTTGAATCTTAAATTAACCTTTCAATTATGACCCATTAGACTTCACTTCATTTGGATTTTGTCTGCAATTTGCTCTTTAAGTCAGACACACGGTCAGTCATTCATGGCGGTACGTCAGCTGTGACTGTTGCTCATGGTAACCACGTAGTGCGATGGAAAGCATGGACACTTTCTTACCACAAAGCAAAAAATCTAAATCTAAAGAAGTCATTTTTTCTTAAAATAAGTGTTTTTTCATTCTGGAATAGAAGAGGTGAGATACGTTGCCAATGGAACAAAACAATTGCAGTCTTTTATTTTAATATGATCAATTAATAATTTTTATATTATCTAATTATCTTTAAGGATAAAAAAATGCATATGCCATTGGCAAATCATCTTATTTTCCTACTCAAATTAAGGGTAAATACACCTGTTTAGACATTTTTAATCATTTTCAGAACATAGTTGCAGTGCATCTTATCCATCATTTTCCTCACATAAAGAAAAAAGAAGCAGACCAACTTCCCTCTGTTTTTTTTTTTTAATCAGCTACCATACAGTTTGCCATCACAGCCCAGCTCTTCCATTCATCCCAGCGCCATTCATTGTTAAGTCCTACATCAGTTATTTCTTAGGGCTTTACAAACTTTGCTTGCTTTCTGTTGCTAACATTTACTAGCCTCCATTGGCTGAAGCTTGATCATTTAACCAATCATCAGAGGTGTCAAGTAACAAAGTACAAATACTTCATTACTGTACTTAAGTACACTTTTTAGGTATCTATACTTTACTCCATTACTTATATTTCTTCCTACTTCTGACTTCTACTCATTACATTTTCACACAAGTATCTGTATTTTCTAATCCTTACATTTTTCAAACAAACGTTACTCGTTACTTTTGGCTTCGGTTTAATGTTTATAAATATTTATTTCCCGTCATGTGCGCCATCCAATGCAGATCATTGGCTCCATCCACATCTAGTGAAAACTAGTAGAAT